ATCTCTTGACGCATGTTGGAGTAAAGTTTTTTTTCCAGATTTGTTCAAGTGAATAACCACATCGTCTTTTGAGGAGGGATAATTAAGAAATAGCAAAGAATTTGTAGAGTCATATAAAAATTTTATTCTCAAGAACCAAGGGGAAAAATTGAAAATGAATTGAAAGCTTCTTGCATTTGACATGGAGTAAAGATTAAATTTGTTCAAAGCAATAACCCCCAGAGGAAAGGTGGGATCACAATTGGGGATCAAACTTTTACATTGGAATATATAGAGATATAGCTTTAAACTTGATTGGGAGGCCCGGATCCGATTCTTGTTCGCCGCCTTAAACTAAAGACGTAGACATTGGTATTAACTGTTCCTTTGCCAAGTGCCAGGAATTAGAAGTGAAAGTTTGACTACAAATGACACCCAGGATGAAATTACTATAAAATTAACACTCTTTCAAATCATTGCAAATCCATATTAAAATAAAGATGAACTGATTACTGCCTAAATTAGAAGAGGAGTTTGAGGAAGAAGATAGTAAGACAGACAGACTGACCGCTCGGACCAGGATAACAACTGACGATTTACCCAAACTTTCTTTAGAATGTGCGCGCGGGTAAAATAAGTTCAAACAGAATTATATCTTCCTCTAATGTTTGTGCTGCTGCAATAATACTTTGAAATTTTATCTCGGTCTTCAACTTAAATAGCCACCTGATAAATTAACCGAAATAGAACATGAGTTGTATTTTATGCATTGGCAAATTAGTTTGCAAATTAAGTCTGTAAGTACTCGATTTTATTACTGAACTACATCTATTGGATCAATAAAATACATGGCCTAGATTTCCATTAAAAAACTATTCTTGTACTTAAAACAAACAATCAAGTAACCCTTGTTTAATTTAAAAGGCAGCTGATGAATTCATCTCTTTTTTATTTTTGAAAGAAACCATAAAGAACTTTAAAAGAAATTGTAATGGTGCATTTAATTTAACAACAAAAGTTACATCAATCAAAATTGGCTGCAGAGTTTGAGTAAATATTTAATTTCAACAACACTCATTATATTTTCTAATTAAATATTATGACCACTGACGTAAAAGAAATCATTAGGGAGATTCTTGTAGCAATTACCAATAACACCTTTTGGTGTTTTTCTGGGCATCTCAGTCCAAAATATGATGGGATCTGCATTCATGATCGGGTGTTTGATTCTGACTGCTTTAACTGGGGAGACAATTTGTGCCTATATGGAAGTAGAATCAAGTCTACAAATAGAACTTTTGACTGCTTACAATTTCAACGTTCGCCCTACTTCGAATGGGTCCGAGAAAACTGTTATTGGATATAACTTCTACATTAAAAGCATCAATGATTTCAAAGAAGCAGAAGGAAAACTGTCTCTAACAGGATTACTGGTCGTATTTTGGCGAGATCCAAGGTTGTCATGGTCAACTTCATCTCCACCTTATGACGTAATAAGTTCAACGTCATTTAAGTCATTTCAGGTGTGGACCCCAAATTTTATTTTATCAAATGCCTTTGGAAACTTTCAAAGACTTGGTGTTGAAAGTGGGGCAGTGCATTATAGCTCAACAGGTGCCGCTCTTATGTACGTTGTAGATAAATTTGAGACTACGTGTCTCTCTGATGTTAGGTCATACCCATTTGATGTGCAAAAATGCCATCTGGAGATCGTACCCTGGGGTATAAGAGGTACCACATTAAAAATTATTTCCTCACAAGAACCTGTCTCCCTTCAGTATTATACTATGAGTGGGTTATGGGATATCAAAAACACACATACATACGTGATGCAACTCCCATTATTTGATCAAATAACAGTTTCAGTGGAAATTAGTCGTCGTACACTGTACCACGTGATCTTGTTAATGATTCCATTGTGTATTCTTAGTTTGCTTCCCACTTTGGTATTTCTAATACCTGTAGAGTCTGGGGAACGATTGGGGTACGCAACCACTAGTTTGTTGTCGCTACTGCTTTATCAGACAGCCATAGCTTCGAAACTTCCAGAATCATCAATCCCCGGACTTTCTCTGTTAATTTTGAAGACGTTCGCAGAATTTCTCCTAGCTTGTATAATATTAATCATGACTGTTTACGCCATTAGGTTTTACTATTACGATGAACATACACCCATTCCAAAAATAATGATTTTTCTGCATTGGATCATGACAAAGAAAAACGAAAGTGTAATACATTCTAAGAGAGTCCAGCCAGAAGTTGAAAACAAATCCAAAAGGGGGGAAGCTAGTGCATGGAAGGAGGAACCTAGAATAACATGGCAAGACTTATCTCATAGTTTTGATAAATTCTGCTTGCTCTTTTCGATATTAATATTTATCGGTGTGAATATCGTGTTTCTTATTTTCATCAACAAACCGAAATAATCATCGATTGTTTTTCTCTAATCTTTGTACCATGTTTCTCACAAACTATTACTTTTTAAAGTTTTTTTTTTTTTATCAATAACAACATGTATGTTGTTATTATGTTAAAAGCTTAGGGCAGTTGAAAATACAACTTCACAATAGAAACAATAATAATTTATGCAAATGAAAACCGAGTTGTGTGATGTATTTTTATGCTGGCTGTTTAATATTAATATTATAATTATAGTGTCTAATTGATTACCTGTATACAAGTTTATTGACCAAATTGTGGATATTAAATGGTACGAATTTACTTCATTTTAAAGAAAGATAATTACAAAGTTATCAACAATGTATATTCATGGGCTCAAGCATAGATTAAGACGAAAGAAGCTCTAACAATTAAGCGTATTCATATATCAGAACAAGAAAATGTAAATTAATTCATTATGTTATATTTAATATATGATGGCAAACAGTATTTGCAAAAAATTACAAAAGCAATATAACTCTTTGATTATTCACCTTATGCATATATTATATCTTAATTTAGAGATAACACTGTTGACACACTTCTTATTCAATGGAGTGTATGTCTTATATTTTGTTCGTCATTTTGAAATAGTGTCTTTTAAGCTTTGATAACTAATAGTACAATACCCTTATTAGTATTGGAAAGGACTCCTTTTAAGTGTCTCTGTAGATGTCTTGATTTAACAATTCGTCATTTTACATACAGCCTTTGTATTCATAAGCCTTGTATTGATTTGATATAAATGAATCCATCATGACTGTAAAGATGATGACAACATTTCTCTGGTGTTTGCAGTGGGATTAAAAAGTGAAGTGTAGGAAAGAAAGTATGTCTGCATCTGCCTAGGGTAAAGACCATGGAATTCAATCATTCAAAAATAATGTAGAAAACTGATAGAATTTTGTTGCATATCAGTCTAATTAAGTTATGATTTACATTGCTTGCTATAATAGACGAGATTGCAGTTACATTGAAAATCTGCTTCAGGGGATTTAATTCTATGATTGGTTTACCTGCATGGAACCTTTAATTTTTATTTTTGTTTGTTTGGATCTTGTTTCACGTCCCTGTCCATCATATTTTTACTCATATGGAGAAGCCACTACTTACCGGTGGAGGGCTAGCTGGAAATTTAGACCTATACTCGGCACTCAGGGTCATTGAGCAGTGAGGGACCTTTTTTCGTGCCAACGCCTACTGCGACACGGGACCTCGGTTTATACAGTCTCATCCGAAGAACCGGTCTCCACGTCCCGATGATTAACTCATTACTTCGCGACTCTAGAACAAACAAACGCTCTAACCATTGCGCCACGCGGGCGACTTTAGATGGGTGTTCCTGCTGGTTAGTAAATGTCGGACACATTGTATCGTCTTGACTTGAATCAGTTAAGCTGTATTCCTTGTCATCTAATCAAAAATGGTATTCGATGTGTATGAGCAATACTTCATTTTGATTAGTACTAATGCTACTCAAATTATAATGTTTTAAATCAAACAAATAATGATTACAATTAATTATATCAAAAGATTTTATTTAATTATATATTTTAAATGTATATTAACTAAACTTATGAATTCATGTTTAAATGATTTTGATTTAATTGAAAATATTTAAAAATTTCAATTTCTTAGTAATTTTACCTTCTGATGAGTATTTTTCTTTGATGAAGTCAGCATTGCTGTCATCGTTTCCCACTTAATTGGATTGGGCTTCCTCTGAGAGAACGTGTATTTAATTCCAATCTTACGTTCTGTATAAATGTTCGCCATAACTTGATTGTTGGAGATCAGTGAAATTTTCATGGCATTTCTATGAAAGACCGGTTTCGCAGAAATAAACAGAAATATATCAAGTAGACCATCATTGCCTTTAAGAAGTTGATATAAAATTACATGTATATATAGAACTGATATTGCAAGTTGATGTGGTAATTTTTAAAATCGGATATTAATTTATAATTTTACTAAGATTTTTTTTGCAAGTACTCCCTGACTTGGGAGTGTACAAGATATGAAATCGACTCGGTATGAGTTTCCGGACCGGACATTAAAATTAAAATAAAATAAGTAAAGTTGGTAGAACAAGAAAATCATTTTTTTTTTACTATGATACAGTTGCGAATGGAATATTTTCCCCAGACACACATTTGTTATGATGTCCATCACCGCACCTTGAGCATCATAAGATATCAGCATGTCAGAAGAATTTTGCGGCCAGTTTTGTATCCTGTTGATATTAATCCTTAACCTCTGACGTCTTAAAGTCAGACAATATTATATAACTTATAAAATAAATGCGTAAGCCTAACGTTCGTGTTCAGATTTAAACATAATGAAAAAAGTTGCAATAGACACCTGGGCTTATTTATATGACTGATAAAAAATTTCACATTCACCTGGTATCAATCAGTAAATATACATGTATGTATGTTATCTCTTACCTCTATTTTGACCGGGTCAACTGTAAGCAGGTCAACAAGCATGTTGTGATATAGCATTTGTGTTGTCTAATATGGATGTACTTTTGTATTCACATCAATTCAACCTTATAGACTTATTTATTTAGATATATCATTATGGAGACATTAGGAGTATTAATTACTGGTGTGTTGATTTTCATGATTTCTTCCCTCCTCTTGTTCCTATTGTAAGTATTTATAATCTGTCAACACATCACATATGAAAAACATTATCATTATTTATACGTGCGAGTTTTAAATACATGCAGTTCAGCAGAGTTGGACAGCCTATTTCAGGCCCGTAGGAAGCAATTTCAGTAGGGGGGGGGGCGGGGGGGGCACATACCATACATTTTCAGTTGGGCGGGCACTATCAACTACCAAAAGTTCTTTGACAAGCAAAAAAAAAGTCATCAGGCGTTATTATTGAGGAGGCACAAGCATATGGAAGCTATGTTTTCTACAGTATTCTATATATCGGCAAAATTATTGGGGGGGGGGAGGGGGCACGCCCCCCCCCCCTACCCCGTGTCGCCCCCGATTCCTACGGCCATGTATTTATTACCTGTATATAGGTTGAACAATTTTCAATATCTAAATCAATCTATAGCGCAATATTATCTTTTAGATAAGCAATTATATTGATAGAATTTTGTGAAGGATGTTGCCTGGGTGAAAACTATGTCAAAGAACTGTGCTTTAATTGATTGTAGATGGTAAAGTACAGTAAATTGGTTATTGTTTAAAATCTCGGGTGAAATTGTAGGCGCTTATAAACTGTTTTTTTTATTACTGGTATGTCCTGATAAAAATTAAGTGTACTAGTATTACAAATTAAACAACTCGAATATCTGTTAGCAGTTTGAGTTCTTGATATTTCTTCTGGAAAATTGTCAATAAATTAATCCACATTTCCACATTTCTAGTGCATGAACTCTATTTTTTAATTACATGTGCCGTGCCTATAAAGAATAGATAAGATAATGAAAGACATAATGAAGTAGAGCAAGGTTTGTTTGATGTAGTGCAACTGGAAGGTTTTAATTTACAATTACACATGTGCTTTGCCAAATTAAGAAGCCACATCTCATTTTCGTGGAATTTCAACCCAGGTAACTCTCTATTCAGAAGAAATCTTTTGGCCATTCAAAAACAAAATTATGTTTAAAGAATAGTATAAATTATTATATTTCCATTTCTATTTGTTTTCTCTGTGATAACTCTTTGAAAGTAAGTAGAGTTGATTTCTTGATCATTCTAACGGAATGCAAATTTCACCAAGCGAAAGGTCAGGAGCTTAGAAGGCCTAATATGCATGTAATTCTCGTGCGGCTGTCTTTGTGTCTGACACTAAGGAGGCCTAATTATATGCATGTAAATATCGTGCGGCTGTCTTTGTGTTTGACGTCAGTGGGCGGGGACTATTGAAATTGACATGTGAGGCCTCGTGTAATTTAATTCTATTGGTCTACATTTTTAAAATCTAAATTTACAATTTTATTTCACAATAAAATGGAAATATAAGGAATCACTGTCTAGTTAGTAGAGCATGCCAGGGACATCAACGATAGTTGGAAACGTGGGATAATTTATGCATAACGGGCTTCGCACGTTATGCAAATTATCCCACGTTAATTTCCAACTATCGTTGATGCCCTGGCATACTCTACTAACTAGACAGTGATTCCTTAAATAAACCTTGATAGTTATCTTGTTTAAGAAATCTAATAATAGGATCTGTACAATTTAGATACACAACATGGAATTTTGGGATTTTCAAGAAAATGGGAGTCAATGGACCAAGCCCCAGTCTTTTATATGGAAATCGGAAGACGATTGCCAAACTGGTAATATGGAGATTAGAGTAAAAATGTATTATTAAAAACAATCCTATGCAATCTAGATAGGAAAAATAAGTATTCACTATTCAGACTATATAGTAACCAGATACCTCTTTTCTCACAGCTATTTATAAATGAGTAATGTTCCATATATTCTAGGGTATTGCAGAAGCTGATATGATGTGGTGGAGGGAATATGGAGATGTGTTTGGGTAAAAATTTCTCTATGTCCATCATTAAAGGCTTGTTTGTTTTTCTATTTAAAGTTTAAGCATGTTGATAGAAAATAAATAAATTTGTACTTTCTTTTATGAATCAAAAGAACGTGTATGAATAATTAATACATTATTAGTATGCAATAATGACAGGCACTTTGTGGGAAGATCACCAATGTTAGTTGTGGCAGACACAGAAATGCTAAAGGAAATTCTTGTGAAGCAGTTCAATAACTTTACAGATCGAGTGGTAAGTCAGACTGTATAATTTATAAATAGTGGCTTATGGATGAACCATTAAAAACTCACTTAAGTCAATAAATGAATAGCATAACACGCCTTTCTAACTATTCATACATGTATATCAGTGTAGTCTTGTAGATATGTATACGTATTAAATGCTTGATTTTTCAAATTTTACTGGAATTAAATATAATTTAAAAACAATTCACATGTCAAGGTTCAATAGATTTATGTGCGATTTCAATATTCTTAGTGTTAAATGACCAAGTGTTACCAAAAATATCTTGTGTAAATGCTACCTAAATGAGTGGTGGGATTGAAGTTTTGAATAGTATGTGTACAATTTTGTCATTTTATAGCCAGTCAATCAAAATAATAACTTGCATTTGTATTTTCATTTTTATTTTCATGTGCAAATTATTTTATATCTTAATAAACGTAAGGAAAAGTTTTTCATAATTTGTTGCATGTGCAGGTTCTGCGAGGTTTCAGTGGTGATGCAGAAGAACATTTAGCATCACAGCAGGGAAAAGTATGGAAAAGTTCGCGAGCAGTACTGTCCCCAGCATTTACAGCTGGAAAACTAAGAAAGGTATAGGATTTCCATTTTGTCGGGGCCTGTTTCTCTTTTATTTTGAAATAATTAATTCAGATTATATGATTCAACTGAATTAGATGGACCCCCTTATCACTGAAGCTGGTGATGCACTTGTTCAGCACATAAAAAGGGCAATCAAGGAAAATGAGGAGGTGGACATTGCATAGTAAGTTAATGAAAAACTTAAAATCCGGAATGCTGAATGGTTGTATTAATTAACTCTTAATTATGTATGATTAAGGTATCATGATGCCATTCTTCTTTCATCTCCATTCTGATTGCATCAATAGATCAATGTTTCACCATGGGGGGATTTTTTTTTTATAATGTACCTAAGAGTAAATGTGTACATCTTATAAAAAAACCCATAAGGTTTCAGATTTTGGATATATATATTATATCATGTGGTAAACGTCAATGAGTTTTAAATTTGCACTGGATTTGCACGTTCTACAAAAATTGCCGGACCCTTTTCGAATACACAATTTATGTTTTCCGCTTGTATGCTGTAATTCCATGTAGAATGTTTCTCCAACTTTCTAAAATTTAGAAAACAATATTAATTATTCATTAATGCATAGAAAATGTCCAAAATGAATTTTATTGATTGCCTTCGTAAAGTTAGTATGCTGCAAGATGAATAATTACAGTGAGATTTTCTAGTCAGTATATTTGCAATACACATTTCTGGTTTATTGGAAATACCATGTTAAATCTTTACAGTATATTCGGGTGTTATACGGTAGATGTAATTGCCTCTACTGCATTTGGATTGAAGGTTAATTCACAAGGAGATCCCGAGGACAAATTTTTACAGATGGTGTCAAAGCTCATTTCCGTAACTCGCACCTCGCCCATTCTTATCCTTGCAAGTAATTATCAAAAATGCTCAGTATTTTGTTCAATTTTTTTTTTACTTAATTCTTGGTAATTGAATTAGATGTAACATTTTAAAACCTCTTTAATTTTAGCTTTAATTCCATTTATTGCAAGACCATTTGCAAAATTCTTCAACGTTTCGTTTTTAAACGAAGAAGCATCATTATTTTTTAAGACAACAATAGTGAAAGAAATGACAACAAGGCATTTACGCAAAAGGGTAATTGTTTTGTTTATACACTATATCCATAGCATTTATTTTATCAAAAAACTGATTATGTAACACAAACCGTGGAATACATGTAGCTTTGGAGTTCCAATTTCTTTATCGTTTTGTTTTCATTCAGAGAAATGATGGATCCTAAAACTCACCAGTTTGTGTTTTGCTTTTTGCAATTAAAAAAAAAAGAATGTCATTTAATTTCCAGGAGTATGTTGATTTCATCCAGCTTATGATGGACGCTCATAATGATGACCTACAGGATGCGGACGGGAAGAGAGGCGAGTCAATATACTGATTCTATTACCACAAGCACTCAGCTTTGGAGTTGACCAAATTCTGCTAGTCTTTACTGTTCATTATCATTTTTCAATGTTCTCATAGAATTATTTCAAAACAATAATTTAAATAATTACGTAGTAAAAAAGCAGATTCATAGCATATCTCTAATCTTTCAGACTGACTTTGTCTTTGAACAGTGAAATTACTAGAGTGATTCATTTTATTCGCAAGAATTTCTAAAGTGATTTAATTTATTTGCAGGGTTGACATCCACAGAAATTATCGCCAACTGTCTGATATTTTTCTTTGCCGGTTATGAAACCACTGCCGCCACTCTTGCTTTCTTGACATATTTTCTTGCCCTCAATCCAAATGTTCAACAAAAGATGTTTGAAGAAATCGTTTCAGAATTAGGAAATGCAAGTAAATTTTGGATTGACGACAATACTGATTTTGTCATAACATAGACTGATCCAAGAGTAAAAATTTGAAGCCTTTATGAAACGCTGTATCCTTGCGTTTTGCTTTAAGAGGACAATTTTCCTATTTTCAAAAGAGAGGGGGAAAATAATAAAATTTTTAGTCTTTAAGACTGTTGCACTGGTATTTACAATTTTAATTAATATATTTCAATAAAAGGCAACAATGCATAATTTCACAATTTCTATGTTGAAGAAAAGTTACGGTTTAAGCTATTAGAAATGACTCCTTGAAGGAGTAATGTGTACATTATTATAGAATTATTTTCTATCACCTTCTACTTTTTTTTGTCCTGGAAACCCATCCCCCAATGATTTTTTAAAAGAAAAAAAATTAAATACATTTAAAAGGATTTCAGCAAAATTTAATGAAGTAATACATGTAATATTGTGCAAAATAATTACAGGTTACCTCTTTCTGATTAAAGTATTCTCTAGTAGTCTTTCTTGGTGCAATAGTGCATTAATAATAAAATAATTTATATCTGGTTGAATAAAATAAAATATGCTGAGCATTTACACGCTGTTTGCATAGAAGTATAGATGCACACACCAAATATTATGAATACATGTAGTAATATGATAATATAGCATTTGTTGTTAGTAAAAATAGAAATTCAAGTATTTTCATTATTGTTCGAATATGTTTCACATGTGGAATGGTCTAAAATTACGAATACCAATTATAAAGTCTTCAATACCAATTAGAAATTAATACAAATAAGAAAAATCATACATTCACTTTAGGAGGAACCAGGATATGACAATGTTGGCAAGTTACAGTATATGGACATGTGCATCAATGAAACAATGAGAATGTTCCCTATTGCACCAAGGTAACTCTTTCAACAATAGGCGGTAAATTTTGCAAATTATTTTTGTTTTTGGAATTTTACATAATTGCTCTGAAAGTTCTAAAAGAGTACTTGATGTTTGATATATGAAATTCTATTAGTAGTATTTCAATGGTTATAGTTTGTTTGTTTGTATATTGTTTAACATCCCTCTCGAGAATTTTTCACTCATATGGAGACGCCACCACTTGCCGGTGGAGAACTGCAAATTTTGTCCTATGCTCGGCACTTACGGCCATTGAGCAGTGAGGGATCTTATCGTGCCAGCACCTACTGCCACACGGGACCTCTGTTTATACGGTCTCATCCGAAGGACCGGTCTCCACGTCCCACAGTGGGATTGGAACCTGCGACGTAAGGATCAACTCCTTACTTGGCGACTCTAGAGCAGACGCTCTAACCACTGCGCCACGCGGGCGACTCAATGGTTAAAGTAGATTTTGTTGAAATTAAAAGGTCAGAAAATAAATTTCTCGTTTTAAAGATACAAAAATAAGGATTATTTGAGTTCAAAAAGAGCACATCTATTTTTTCCTTTCAAATAAATAGTAAAGTAATAAAACAATAAAGTTAACAATCCAAATTTGTTTTCTTCGGCAAGTTGATATTTTTCTAACTCATGTGATGCAAGATTGTCTACGATATGAAGTCTCACTGAAAAGGAGATAATATATAAAACTTCTTTGCAGAACAGATAGATTATGTGTTCAGGAGACAGAAGTAAATGGTTTGAATATACCAAAAGGTATGCAGATTGCAATACCTATATGGATTTTACACCATTCCGATAAACTCTGGGAAGATCCGGAAAAGTTTGAACCAGAAAGGTTTTTTCCTTCAAAATTTTGATTTCACTTTCATGTACTCCTATCTAATGTGTTTTTAAGCTTCAAAATGAATTATTATAACAAAGTAGTATACACTGTACTAGTATTTTTTTTAAAAAAATAAACAACAATGTTAAAAAGTTCTCTGGGAAATGAACTTGGTTGGTCACGTGATCAAATCCTGTGAAGCCCGAAGGGCTTCTCAGAAGATTTGATCACGTACCAACCAAGTTCATTTCCCAGTGAACTTTTTAACATTGTTGTTTATTACTTTTATTTACATTTGAGACGAATATTCTGAACAGAACTGCATTTATTATACGAACGGCCCGCCGTATTGCTATGTTGTGACGCGCAATGACCTAGAAGCTGTTTGGTCTTGAGAGTTCGCCTCGCTCCAACATTTGAATATTTACATTGGTGTTCAGCATTCCAGTTCAGGAAATATCTGTTCATAATGAAAAAAACAATGATAGCTACTACTGGGAATAATCTAACTATTATTGTATGAGTTCTTTATATATGAAGTCAAAAGCGCTGCTATCGTCTTCAGTTTACATACCTTCAAAGGAATTTCGGGTTAAAAAGGTAAGCGTGATTTTAGGCTAATTAGGAAACATTCTTCATAACGAAGGAAGATCTAATGATCATTTGTTGAACGAAAAAAAGAAATATATGTTTCAATAATTTTATCTTTTTCATCGCTTTAACGGCTTCGAAGTTCCAAAAGTGTCACTGTGACAGAAATATGTAGACAAGATGTCGTCTCGCTGTGTGATTCGGTCACGCCATGACCTCTGACCCCCTAATAAGTTCATACAGAATTGAACATATTTTCTCTTCAATAGGTTCATCTAAGAAAAATATTTGCAAATGTAAATAATAATGCTTAAACTAATGTAAGCCGTAAGTTTAGAAAAATAAACATAAAATATAATGAAACAAACGATATTTTCATAATAGTCTCTTTTATCTTAATATGCAGTTTAATGCTGCAGATTTTCGCCAGAAAACAAAGCAAAGATGAACCCGTACCAGTTTATGCCTTTTGGATATGGTCCTAGAATATGTATTGGGATAAGATTGGCTTTAACTGAGATCAAAATTGCAATGACCAAAGTCCTTCGAGAATTTGAAATAAATACATGCTCCAGAACTAAAGTGAGTGCTCTGATTATATACGAAATGAGTAAATTATGTAAAAAAAAAGAAAAAAAAGAAAAGAAAAGAAACATGCTTACTTTTCTTTTTTTTTTTTCATTATCCAAAAAGTAGCAGTTTTTATTAAACTTTGGAACCAAAATTATGAAGAGAAATCTGTTTGACTTAAAATTAAAGCAAAATTTTTTTAGTATGTATTCTTTTAGGAATTGCCAAGGAATAAAAATTCTAATGCTGACCCTAATGTTCAGTCCTTTTACGTACTACCCAGTAATAAATACACAGTTGTAACAAGACTTTACTTCATTTTAGATACCACCAAAATTAAAGAATAGTCCAAATCTTGTTCTGTCAGAGGACATGTGGTTGAAAGTAGTTCTACGATGAGTTGAATCAGTTGATGGCTCCAAGAACAACGACAACTTGATCTATATTGCATTGCACATAATGTGTAATATCAAATTGTGCTATTATACAATAAATGAAACTCGTTAAATGATATAGAAATACGTTTAATTATTGTTGTTTACTGAGCAATGATTTTAACTTTATGAATGGGTATCTTCATTCTTTCCATGTTCATATTGTCATAACCAGTCAAATGTATAAGACAAAAGTAAAACAAAATAATATATTGCTTACAATTAGAATTTTATTCATTTGTTTGTTGTTTAACGTCCCTCTCGAGAAATTTTCACGCCACCACTTGCCGTTGGAGGGCTGCAAATTTAGACCTATACTCGGCACTCAGGGCCATGGCCATTGAGCAGTGAGGGATCTTTTTCGTGCCAGCACCTACTGCGAAACGGGACCTCAGTTTATACGGTCTCATCCAAAGGACCGGTCTCCACGTCCGTAGTGGGAATCAAAGTCAGGACGTAAGGATGAGCTCCTTACTTCGCAACTCTAGATCTAGAGCAGACGCTCTAACCACTGCGCCACGCGGGCGACACTTTATTCGTTGTATTTGAAAATTAATTTTTCCAGGAAAGTTGAATATAATAAAAAAGAATTTCCTTGGAATATTAACTCCGGCTCTAAAAACTTATAACTTAAATTGCTTTTGTGAACTAATCAAATGCACAATTTGGAAATGAATATATAATTGCTATTAAAACAAAGGAGTAAAATTTAGGAATTTTATTTAACTTTTGATATTCATGATTGGTAATTTACTTCAAAGTATTCAGTTACCCCTTAATGAACGAATAAAAGCCTTATTGCATTTAGGCATGTTAAGACCTACGTTTATACAGAACTTCTTTCGGAATGAGCACCGTCTTACAAGAGTATTTTCCACATTTCACACAAGTTATTGTCATGATTACAGTACACAGGTTTAATTCAGTCTTCTTAATTAGACTCTAAATAATTTTATTTGGCTTTGTACAATGTATCAGGACAGTTCCAAGAGAACGGAACTTTAAAAACTGAATTTCGTCTAAGAAACTATCTGAGTTAAGACATTCCCTTTCCTGGGAAATACTAAACAAGTACACATGGAAGTCACGGTAGCTCAGTTGGTAGAGCGCTCGCTCATTGATTGGAAGGACGTGAATTCGAATCTAGGCCGCGACTGACTTAAGTCGATAAAAAAAATAGGTAGCAACCGTTCCTTCGTCAGGCGCTCAGCACTTTGAAGTAAAAGTTGTGGGTCCTTCGGATGAGACCTTAAAAACCTAGGCCCCGTGTCAAGGCAAGCGTTGGCACCATAAAGTTCCCTCACTACTCAATGGCTCTGAGTGCCGAGTAAAGGTCTAAAGTTGAAACCCTTCACCGGTATATGGTGACGTCTCTACATGAGTTAAAAATTCTCGAATGGGATGTAAAACAACATACAATCAATCAATCAATCACAGGGTACTAACATCTTTCAGTATCTCCTAATAAGCACACGAGATCTTCTTCTCAAATACAATGCTTTCTCTTCTCAAATGCAGTCGGGAAGAGGTCCTGATTAAAACTGAATCTAAAATATTTTATGTGAGATTAAAGAGGAATAAGGAGAATTTGGTTAAAACTTGCTAACAGCCAAAAAAAAAAAACATGTGGAAGACACTTCAGCTTAAATGACACTGCTTTCCAGTTTGTGAAAACTTAATCCACAGCAAACCTAGTGGCATTAAGGCTGTTATTCGTGCAAAGGGGGAGCAACATAACACTAGAAAAAAAGACATAAACTATAATAAAACTGAAAATTTCATCATATCTATTGTTTGTGCCTTTGTTTAGTAGAAATATTTCTATGTTCAAAATGTGAATTTAATTAAATCACAAAACCATGTTAGATTAAAGTTTTTGAGAAGTTTGTTCGTTAGAATAGGATGCTTTATATTTTTGGTACAAAATGCCATATTTAAAAAATCGTTTTTCAACAAGTCTCATAACTGTCTAAAGTGGTCTATTTATAAGAATCCAATGCAAATGAGTTTTGAAGTGTTAATTAATTATAGAGCATTAAAAAAAAAAAAAAAAAAAGCTAAAAGTATTGCCCCGGGTGAGGATCGAACTCACGACCTTCAGATGGCCCTATTGTGATTATGAGACTGACGCGCTACCTACTGCGCTACCGAGGCATATGATACATATTCTGTAAGGTTTTGAAGGAATAAAGACTTAAGTTTTTGACGACCAATTTAAAAAAAAAAGTTATAAGAAAACATATCAATCTAATAGTTTTTCCCTTAATAAATGTCTATTTCGTAGAATATTTTTTAAATCAGAAAAAGGAAATCGGTCGACTTTGTTAAGTTTTATCTCATTAAAGAGCAAGCAGAGAAGAATTTAAATCTTGTTTGACCTTTATAGAATGAATTGTTCAATTAAGTTTAAACAGTTAAATACGTGTTCTGACAGCTGTCTCACTACGTTAGGATATCCCTAAAACACAGCGAATGAACAAGACATTTCTGACATGATACTTTCTTTCTCTGTAAATTGTAGTTAATCTAGTTTGTTACGAAGGGACATATATATATATATATATATATATATATATATATATATATATATATATATATATATATAACATTGCCAACCCTATATGATCCTACAAAATAATGATTCTTTCTTCGTTTAAATACGTTTAAATTAAAAGAAAATACTTACTGCACTGTAAAGTGCAAATGGCCCTATTTGTAATCAAAATGTCACATGTTTTGCAATATTTGGCAAAACATTCAGAAAAGAAGACACGGGGTCCGGAAAGGAATTCTCAAATAAATCTCTATTTGAAACTTTACAATCACATTTAATTTTCTAGCGAATCTATGGATTGTTACCAAAACTGGTTATAATCTGATGATTGCACATACAACATATGCTCAATATCCCTAAGGATGATCCGAGGGATACCAACCAAACTCTTATTGTCTGAGTCCCATATAGACTTAAAAATGCTATAATGCTATATTTTATACTGGGCACTGCTTTTCCATATAGTTACAATGACAACATGTTGACAGTGTGGGGAATCTTTCAAGTCCACAGTGTAGCAACATGAACGTGATGGGTCTTTTTAATTAAACACATAGACATAGCATAACATACATGTATACTGCTTTTGTAAAATGGTTTCTCTGATTTTCACAATTTATACATATTTTGCACTAATAACTTCTCAAAGAACTCCCAGTAAAAAGGTAATCGTTGATTTATTTGAATACACTACATGTTCATAAATTGTCATTTGAACGAGTTTTCACTCGATTTATAATAATGTTTACACAAAATGAGTAATTTTTTATATGCTGACATTAACTTCTGTTATTTCTGTCTGAAATCTTTAAAAAAAAAGTAGCGACGGATACATTTTTGTGATTATTATTGATATTTATGTATACTATTTGGAAATTATAATGCAATTAATCTAATTTGAACCCATTTTACTATGAGAGTGGAGGCACCCTAATTGAATTTTAAGCACGATTTCTGTCCGTTCTCTTCCCATTTCATTAATTATAAATAAATAAATAATCATAAACTGACAGCTGCAAATGATGTTCTTCTCGCATTTCTTCCCAAAAGCAAACATTAATCAGATGACTCCTAAATATTCTTAGCTAGGTACATGCTAGCATGAAATTGAAGAACATGTACCTATGTTATTCAGATTCAGTTATCATTAGCAGTGTCCTATAGCAGGGAATAACAATCATACAAGAATATGTGCAGATTTACACACATTGTAGACAGACTGAATACGTTATCTACTCTGCCATGTTTTATTTAATAAAATAAATAAATTTAAAAAAAAAAAGATTAAATGCTGGATTTTAGGGAAAAAAATAGATTTAAGAAAGAAAGATTATTTAATGCACTTATATATCAAATATTCTGCTTTTTGAAAATGTAAACCTTAAGAGAGAAAATGAATATGGACTTAAGATTTTTTTCATTTAGCTTGCTTAAAATTAACAACACATTATTTTAGCCTCAGGTCAATATTTGCCTATTGTTCAAATAGGCAATTTAAAATTTTACAATTTTAAAATTCGATTTACCTGTCCTCCATCTCAATAGGAGTTTTAAAATTACATGTACTGTTTATACAGCATATATATGTTTATAAAGTTATGTGTATACACAAGTATTCCACCTATTCCCACATAACATTTTACCTTTTCCTACCTGATTTTCTAAAAGTGGGAATAGGTAGAATACACCCTGTGGATATACCTGTTCGGTTCTTTGGTATGAATGGATTTATGTTCATAGTCGAAATGTTCAAACTATTAGAGGAAATTATCGTGAATTTGAAAATTTAAATATTACATGAAAATGTACCTCAACAATCCGAAGAAACCCTGTAGAATTTTTTTTAACATTCAAAGATGTTAAAAGATATATTTAGCTTACATAAAAAACTATGATATTTCCAATTTTATATAGCAATCAATATATACTCGATCGCGGACATTTTTAAACAATAAATTAAACCTGCATGTTTTTGCACAATTTGGAGTTTTTGATATACCAAAGCTCTTAATATGTATCTTTTATGGCATTTGTGCAACATAGTGCAGGAAACATATTTGTAAAAATGTACTAAAAAATGTGAACATCTGACCAACTTGTTCCGTCGTACAGGTTTCACGCTGTACATGAATGAGTAAACAAAGATGCCCTCTTATCTTCATTTTAAACAGGTCACTGATATTACATTGATGTGATGCAATTCAAGGGTGGTCTCTCCTCTCTGTTTACATGGTTTCTTAGACATTCATCATGGTGACATTAGGAGTTTTAATTTCCGGTGTATTGATTTTCATCATTTGTGTCCTCCTGTTGTTCCTTTTGTAAGTATTGTGGAAGCCTTGGACAATCATAAATATATGAAAAAGGATAGTTAATATACAAGGAATCAGTCAAGGTGGACAGTTCGTTTCTCTTCAGGAGAGTGTGTGTGTGTGTTTTTTTTTTTTTTTTTTTTTTTTTTTTTTTTTTTACCTCAGCACAGCTCTAACGTTTATTAATACAACATGTACTATATTTGTATTGTATTGTATTGCATATCTTTCTTACCTGTTAGCATATCAAAGCTCTGTATGTATGTGTGAGGTATGTTCATATACAAAGGATTTATTCATCACGCTACAGTGTGCCTGAATTTGAAAACCAGAAAATGTATTTTTATCTTCATGTAACATGTTAACTTTAATCGATGATGATAATACACAACATTATCGTAAACTCAAATATTAAAGTAACTTGTGGCTCTATGAAAGAAAACGACATGGTTTTAATCTAAATACGGTTCTAAACAAATCTCTTGGAAGCCAAGTTGAAAAGCCTTGTTTGATATCATTTGTATTGAACGTCAATCAAGGTCACATTTAAGAACAGTAAAGAAATGCACTAGGTAAAAAAATTCCAAACATTTGAAAGAACATAATAAATGCTACAATTCCTCAAGTACGGAAGCACGTTGAGGCCAGTTCAGAGAAAGAAATATTTTTTATTGCGTATAAACGCAATAAGTATTGCGTTTAAACGCAAAACATTGCGTTTAATCGCAATAATCATTGCGTTTTAACGCAAAACACTTCGCGTTTAATCGCAAAAGATTGTGATTAAACGCAATCTTTTGCGATTAAACGCAATAGTTTTTGCGTTAAAACGAAATAATATTTTTGCGATTAAACGCAATGATTTTTGCGATTAAACGCAATAGTTTTTGCGATTAAACGCAACAATTTTTGCGTTTCAACGCAATAATCATTGAGTTTAAAGGCAGTCATTTGTATCAAACCTTGCAGAGTACAATGGACCCACGCATACTTATATCTTTTATTTCTTTCTCTTTTTTACTTATTAGGAAATAGTGTATTGTCTAGCTTTATAGAATCGGATTTCTCCGAGCAAACGTTCTCTGAAAGGATCAATCACTAATAAGAGTTTTTAGAGGAGAAAAAAATGTCGGGTTGTAAAAACAAAGGCAACCTAAGAACGAGACATGTCTTAAGCTTATTATTGTCTACATTCTTAATGAAGCTTTGGTCAGTTGCTCAGTAAAAAAAAACTGTCCCCTACGCTGCGGTCACAAGTTTAACCCATGTATAAAGGGATTTTTGGAAAGGACTGAGGAAATGAGGAATTACGTACAACATAATGAAGTATTTAGACTTAAATGTACATTCATAACCCTTCCTATGGTTGCATACAGTAAACACAAGAACATATGTGATGGATTTATATGAGATCAAAATCAAATGAAAACAGATTGATCGATGTGTACTACATGTATCAAATTGACCAGTGCTATTAAAACCAATCTCTATAAGTTGTGATATACGTAAGCAATTCATCAGAGACTTCATTAAGAGTTTTGGGTTCTAATACATTTAAGACATTCAGGTTGTTAGGATGCCATTGTTTTACTACAATTTTCAAAAACTGGAAAATTTTGCAAAAAGACACAGAACAAATCGGATCTTCTTAAAGTTGAAGTGTCGGATCCTAGTACATGTACATTTGACTAATTAATGTTTGATTTTGAAACTACAGTATCATTGTGTTTAAATGCAAAACAAATCCTTATAAGGAAGGATTATTGCGTTTAAACGCAAAGATTATTGCGTTAAATCGCAAAAATTATTGCGTTTAATCGCAATACTATTGCGTTTAATCGCAAAAATTATTGCGTTTAAACGCAAAAAGTATTGCGTTTAAACGCAAAAATATTATTGCATTTAAATGCAAAAAGTATTGCGTTTAATCGCAAAAGTATTGCGTTTAAACGCAAAAGATTGCGTTTAATCGCAATCTTTTGCGTTTAAACGCAAAGTGTTTTGCGTTTAAAGGCAATATACATTGCGATTAATCGCAATGTTTTGCGTTTAAACGCAAAAATTATTGCGTTTAAATGCAATAAAAAATATTTCTTTCTGTGAACTGGCCTCAACGGGCTTCCGTACTCAAGTAACCATAAAAGAAGTTTTTTTTTGCATGTTTTTTGGGGAATACATTGTAACTGTTCCTAAAAATATATGTGCATGGATTGTATGTTAATAATTGTGGTTTCATAAAGAACATTTTAAGTTTCATAGCATTATCTGTACACTTCAGATACACAACATGGAATTTCGGGATTTTCAAGAAAATGGGGATAAAAGGACCACCTCCGAACATTTTAGTTGGAAATCACAAGACGGTTGCCGAAATGGTAATTTGAAAGAGAAATTAAATTAGCTTTCTGAATCATTGGATATATATACATGTATCTGTGCAGTCTGAAAATGTAAGACTTGACTTGAGACACTAAGCCCCTGCTGTTCTTAATCAGCAGATTTCCACCTTTACATTCCAAAAAAATTTGATCAAATGATATAGCCCCACCCAACCCCAACAGTGTGTAAGTACCAGAAAATTCTTGATACAGGTCTTTGAAAATAAGCACTGTGTCATAACATTTATTTCAGGGAACTGTTGAGGCTGACATGATGTGGTGGAGGGAATATGGAAATGTATTTGGGTATACACTTTATGATCATTTATGGTTTTCTTGCTATTTTTGTAAATATAAATAATAATTATTTTATTTACGTTTTTTCTTTTTAAATTTATCTTTTTAAGAAAAAGTTATATCCATGGCTTTTTTGTATCATAATAGCATATATTTGATAATAACAGGCACTTCAACGGAAGATCGCCCATGTTAGTTGTTGCAGACCCAGAAATGCTAAAGGAAATTCTTGTGAAACAGTTTCAAAACTTCACAGATCGAGCGGTATGTTGAACCGTTTATTTGATTGAATATCAGACGAAGCATAATACTTCACCTTAATCACTTGGCTTACACAAAAACTTTGAACTCTCAGATTTCAATGGTGGGGAATGATTATGACAATTTTAATTCAATTCATAAATGTTGGAAGGAAAAAAATATACGTTGAACCCTAATTATACTTATAGAAATAAAATGAATTTCGAGTTTTCATATCTGGTCTCTTAAATTGTAGATTTTAAGAATGGTTTCAATGATGGTACCCTGTTAATGGGAAAAAAAGTGCATTAGGGTTATTCACTGTCTACCATCGGCTCATGCATTCACCTATGTCGTTGGCTCGCGTATATCGCAGTGATACGCACAAGAAATACTGTGGAATCATTTTAATTCGTACGGGTCAATGTTCGTGGGCAAGCCAAATTTTACTTGTTCGAAGGGACTTTTTTTTTGTAAGTGCTGCAAATTTTTACATATATTCGGCATTTAGGGTCATTGAGCAGTAAGGGATCTTTTTCGTGCCAACACCTACTGCGGCAGGGGACCTCGGTTTATACGGTCTCATCCGATCCCGAAGGACCGGTCTCCACATCCCGCAGTGGATTCGAACCAGCGAAGTAAGGATTAGCTCCTTATTTCGCGACTCTAGAGCAGTCGTAGGGACGTAACTTCGTGGGTTACTCGTTTATACGGCAGTTCATTGAATCAATATGTTTACAAAATAAAGGTTCGTGGGGATGTAAATTCGTGGTTAAGGGTGACCCACAAAATTTATTATAATTTTAATTCCTGCACTATTATTTGTCTTTTAAGGTATATATTTATTAAGAAGATATATATATATATATATATATATATATATATATATATATATATATATATATATATATATATATATATATATATAATGACCTTGTCAGCAAATACAATTTATCTTAAGTCAAAACTAACGTTTTTCATTCTTATTGTTAAGCCATTATTTACACACTGAATTGTCGACGGATTTTTCTGTTATTTCCCGATCATGACAAGAAGCACACGGCGGGCGTGACCGGTCGGTAGGGGATGCTTACTCCTCCATGGCACCTAATCCCAGCTCTGTCGTTTTAGAGGTCCGTGTTTGCTCTGCTCCAAATTTGTATTGTTTAATGGACTTTTGAGCTTGAATACTGTTCGTTATCTCCATACATTTCATACAACATATTTTGAAATCTCATTTAAGCAGGTGAGCTTCATGTAAAAGTACATCTGTGTCAAATTATCTGGCTTTTTGTAGCAGATAGTCCTATCTTTTTCCTTTTTGATAGCTAAAAAAATATTAATTACTGCATTACTACAGAGTCCACGGGGTTTTGGTGGTGATGCTGAAGAAAATGTAAGCTCACAGCAAGGAAATGTATGGAAAAATTCCCGGGCAATACTGTCCCCAACCTTCACAGCTGGCAAACTCAGAAAGGTGGCGAATTTGTATTTTATGTACTTGACATATTCAACATTTTAAATCAAATTTTGTACATTTAATTTTTCAATTGAACATTTATTTATAATCATTTTCCGTGTTCAAGATCTTTAAAGCTTACTTCATGTGCATTAGATGGACCCTCTTATCAATGAAGCCGGTGAAGCACTTGTTCAACATGTTAAAAGGAAAACAAAGGAAAATGATGAGGTAGACTTTGCAGAGTAAGTATTGTGAAGAACAATGAGCATGAATCAGCGCTGTGTTTTTTACCTGTAATTCCGAGAAAATCGTCAGCAAAACCTAAATATATGGCTTCACCTAAAGATACTGTTGCACATATTTATATTATATACTGTAGATGTTAGATTGAAATTGGTATATTGCATTCTCTGTATATTACAGTCTCTTCGGACGCTACACGGTAGAGGTGATTGCTTCCACTGCATTTGGATTAAAGATTAATTCGCAGCGGGATCCAGATGACAAATTTCTGCAGATGGTTTCAAAACTTATCTTTGTTAAACGTACCTCACCACTTCTGACCCTCGCATGTAAATATCAAATACCTCATGTACTCGATTTTATAACAACGGATTTTTATTAATTAATGAGATGTCTTGTTTTGAAATATCAATTCTAGTTGTAATTCCCATTCTTGCAAGGCCAATAGCAAAGTTCTTCAATGTTTCGTTCTTGAACGAGGAGGCATCTGCCTTTTTAGGTCACCTGAGTCACTCAGGTGACCTATTGCTATCCGTTTTCGTCCGTCGGCGTGCGTCGTGCGTCGTGCGTTGTGCGTTAACATTTGAACATTTTCAGCTTCTTCTCTGAAACCGCTCAACCAATTTCAACCAAATTTGGCATATAACATCTATGGGTGAAGGGGGACAAAATTTGTGAATTTCATGGTCCCTGCCCCCCTGGGGCCTGAGGGGTGGGGCAAAAACCACTAAAATTAAGGCAATCTTTAAAAATCTTCTTCTTTACTCCTGGACATCAAGCAGTCAAACTGTTAGCATGATTGTAATAAGCATTGAGCCCTCTACCAAAATTGTGAAATTCATGGCCCCAGGGTAAGGGGTTCTGGGGCTAGGGTGGGGCTATATAGATCATATAGTAAAAGTGCATTATTTCTTCAAAAATCTTCTTCTCTGCTCCTGGGTATAAAATAAACTAACTAAGTACACAGTTATGATAAGCAAGAATGCCCCTTCCAAAATTGTGAATTTCATGGCCCCTGGGTCAGGGGTTCTGGTGAAAGGGGGGGGGGGCTCTATTGATTATATAGTGAAAATGCATTATTTCTTTGAAAATCTTCTTCTCTGCTTATGGGTATGAAATAAACTAACTAAGTACATAGTTATGATGAGCAAGAGTGCCTCTTCAGAAATTTTGAATTTCATTGCCCCTGGGTCAGGGGTTTTGGTGAAGGGGGGGGGGGTATTGATTATATAGTGAAAATGCATTATTTCTTTGAATATCTTCTTCTCTGCTTATGGGTATTAAAGAAATTAACTAAAAACATAGTTATGATGAGCAAGAGTGCCTCTTCAGAAATTGTGAATTTCATGGCCCCTGAATCAGGGGTTCTGCTGTTAGGGTGGGGCTCTATTGAGTATATAGTGAAAATGCATTAATTCATTGAAAATCTTCTTCTCTGCTCCTGGATATTAAATAAACTAACTAAGTACATAGTTAGGATGAGAAAGAGTGCCTCTTCCAAAATTGTGAATTTCATGGCCCCTGGGTCAGGGGTTCTGGTGTTAGGGCGGGACTCTATTGATTATATAGTGAAAATGCATTAATCCTTTGAAAATCTTCTTCTCTGCTCCTGGGTATTAAGTTCAGTAACTAAGTACATAGTTATGATGAGCAAGAGTGCCTCTTTCAAAATTGTGAATTTCATGGCCCCTGGGTCAGGGGTTCTGGTGTTAGGGTGGGGCTCTATTGATTATATAGTGAAAATGCATTAATTCTTTGAAAATCTTCTTCTCTACTCCTGGGTATTATTGAAACACATTAAATACATAGTTATGATAATCAAGGATGCCTCTTTCAAAATTGTGAAATTCGTGGCCCCTGGATCAGGGGTTCTGGTGTTAGGGCGGGGCTCTATTGATTATGAAGTGAAAATGTTTTAATTCTTTAAAAATCTTTTTCTCAGCACCTGGGTATTATTTAAACAAACTAAGTACATTGTTATGATAAGCAAGGATGCCTCTTCCAAAATTGTGAAATTCATGGCCCCGGGGACAGGAGTTTTGGTGCTAGGGCGGGGCTATATAGATCCTATAGTGAAGGTGAATTATTTCTTTGAAAATCTTCTTCTCTGCCCCTGGGTATTGCTTAAACAGACTAAAGTACATTGTTATGATACACAAGGATGCCTCTTCCAAAATTGTGAATTTTATGACCCCGGGTTTAAGGGTTCTGGTGAGGGGGAAGGGGGGGGGGGCTTCTATTGATTATAAAGTGAAAAAGCAAAATTTCTTTGAAAATATTCTTTTCTTCTTCTGGTTAAAAAAGCAAAGAAGCTAAGTGTATAGTTATGATGAGCAAGTGTGCTTCTTCCAGAGTAGTGAATTTCATGACCCCTGGGTCAGATGTGCTGGTGTGAGGGTGGGGCTCTTGATAATTTAGTGAAAATGCATTAATTCTATTAAATAATCCTGTTTGCTCCTTAGTGTTAAGCAGATAAACAAAGTGATGATGAGCAAACATATGGTCCCAGGGTCAGAAGCTCTGGTGTTTTGGGGGTGGGGGGTTGGGGGTTGGGGCTCTATTGATAATATAGTGAATCTGTAGTAAAAATGCATTATTTATTTAAAAATCTTCTCCGCACCTGGGCATATCTGAGGCAAACAGAGTAAAAGTTTTTATAAGGAAGGGAATTTTTACCAGATTTTTGAACATCTGGACCATTTGGTCAAGTGTTCTGGTCCTGGCCAGGGCTCTATTAGTTTGTATTCTACTGAGAGGAGTTATTCCCCTTTGCCATTTACTTTTGATAATTTATCACTGTAAATAATGTACTTGAAAGGTAAATAGAACAAGAGAATTATGCAAAAACTTTTATTGTATAATACAAAAAGTACTTTCATAGTTTTAATGATCAGATAGACTTGTAAGTAGTAGATAAATAAAAATGAGACAAAAATTACTTGTCTTATTAAATATTCATCAAAGACCAAGAGATGCCAATGTAAGAGATTTCAACAAAGGATTAAAATAGTACAGAAGCATTGATAATTTGTTAATATACTGTATAGTGATAGTGATAAAATGGGGAACAGATTAGAACCTAATTTATGAACTGTTAATGAATATTAAGACCAATTATTTTGTTGATCATGATCACCATATTTTTCTTGCTTTTGGGCAACAAAGCTTCACCTTTCAGTTCATTTAATACTCTATGCATCCTTGAAATTGTTGTATCATACTCAGGTGACCGTTAAGGCCCTTGGGCCTCTTGTTTAAGAACGTAGTCATAAAAGAGATGACAACAAGAAATACAAGTAAAAGGGTAATTTTTTATTTATACAATACGTACATGTAAATAGAACATTTTTATGTCAATATGTCAGGAAAGCAAATACATAGTTTTGAATGAAAAAATCTTAAAATGTTGATATTTTTTCTAATTTAACATTGCTCAATATTTTGTTGAAAGGGATATAAACTATCCCTTCGAAGCTGTCTACGATCTACATTCACAGATCTGAATGCAACGCTTTATTTCCAGGAATATATTGATTTTATCCAACTTATGATGGAAGCTCATAATGATGACCCTCAAAAGGCGGAAGAGAAAAGAGGTGAGTCCCTTTTGAATCTATAATTATTTGTTGGAGTACTGTCCAACAGTATCTTCCAGACGTGGTATAAATCAGATGTGGATGCTTAAAAACTCCAAGGAACTTTTCATTTGAAATCGCAAAATTTTACCAAAAACAATAACATCAAAACGTACGACTTTTCAACATTTTTACAATCATTCCCCACGAAAAATTAAAGTCCAGGCTTTTTGACATCACAAACAGCTACTTTTTCAATCAAAATGGAACTTGTAAATATACTTACTTTGTCATTGGTCATTTGCAAAATTATTTCGTTAAAAACATTCCGATTGTACATACAAATACTCTGAAGTTCATATTAAGAAGATATTAAAAAGATGCTTGAGTTTCTGATTGACAGTATATGTGTAGTTTTTGGAGATCAGATCTTCTAAAATTCTGTTGGAATTTCCATGGGTACCAATTGCGCCCTGTTATAAGCAGACCTATTTTAATTTTTATTCATATGAAGCAGAATTTATTCAAAAACATGAGAAGAAGAAACCGCTTGCTGTGGCCTTCAACTCGACATTTAGACATATCGATAGCATATTATCAATTAATAGTTAATTCCATTCATGTGTTGATTCGATATAACTTGAAATAAAAGACACTACAGTGTCTGACACGTCTGTTTCATATTTGGATATTTTACTATTTTACTGGAAAAAGACGTTAATGGTAACCTAACAACAAAACTATATGACAAACATGATGAATTTTCTATCATCAACTTCCCTTACTTATGTAGCAATATACCCTTTCACCTCTTATGATGTTTATGTCTTCCAGTTGATTCGATATGCAAGAGCATGCTCTACGTACGATCAATTCTTAAAACGAGGCAAGCTATTAACCAGCAAGTTGATGAAAGAAGGATATCTACAATCTCGATTGTTGTCATCATTTCGCAAGTTTTATGGTCTGTACAATGACCTTATCAGCAAATACAATCTCTCATTAGGTCAAATGCTGACTGACGTTTTTCATACGAATTGTTAGACCATTATTTACACACTGAAATTTACACGGATTTTTTCGTTTATCCGATCATGACAAAGAGCTAGCACACGGCGGGTGTGACCGGTCGACAGGGGATGCTTACTCTCTATGGCACCTGATCATGCCTCTGGTGTTTTTGGAGGTCTGTGTTTCCTCTGCTTCCGATTTGTATTGTTTCAATGGACTATGAGCATGAATACTGTTCGTTTTCTCCGTATTTCATTCCTGTAGATTTTCAATCATATGGGACAGATTCAGTAGAACTAACACTCAAGTTATCACGCTGGTTGGCATGACAATTAGCACACGGCGGGTGTGACCGGTCGAAAGGGGATGCTCACTACTCCTTGGTACCTGATCCCACGTTTTATAGGTCCGTGATTGCTCTGCTCCAAATTTGTATCTTTTCAATGGACTTTTGAGGTTGATAACTGTCCGTTATCTTCATTTTCATTGTATATACTAGTATTTACATCCAATAAGTTGATTTCTGCATGGTTTTTGAATAATAAAAGCTTTTTAACTTATGTTAAAATTGTCTTTCAAAATAGAAATCGAACAGTCTAAAATTCAAAAATTTAAATGTTATCAAATATTTGTCCACCAAGACGCTGCTACTTTTGCCTTCCGGTTCACAGGTAATAATCATCTTACAGACGATTGAAGTTCTGAATTGAGTCATAGTTTGTTTAATGGTCCCACTTGCTTGATTATTCAAAATGTTGGTCGGAAAGCTAAGGAAATAATCCCTTTATGCTTGATTTTGCTATTCATTTTCAATATTTCATGTTTTAATCAGAATATTTTCAGAAAATTATTTTGATATGAACAAAAAAAAAAAAAAAAATGAAAAGAAAAGAAAAGAAAAAAAAGAAAAAAGAAGAAGAAGGAATATACCTGCACGCACAGTGTAAGTATGAATAGATTTCGAGAGACATATATATTTTATTTTCAGGGTTGTCATCCAAAGAGATAATCGCTAACTGTCTATTGTTTTTCTTTGCTGGTTATGAGACCACTGCCGCCACTCTTACTTACATGGCATACCTTCTTGCCCTTCATCCAGATGTTCAAAGGAGATTGTACGATGAGATAGTGATGGAACTAGGAGATGTAAGATTTTACCGATAATATGTACATCTGTAGGCAAGAATAACTTAGTAATAGCTCACTTCGAAAAATAAGCATTTTTTCTAGCGTGTTATATCATCTTCTTTTGTAGTAGACATGTACTACATGTCTATAAGTAATGGAAAATATCATTGTTTTCAACTGAGTATAATTAATTTTACGTTTTAATTAAATTGACAAACTAAAGTGGTGTCAATACATGTAGTTGTTGTTGTATCACACAGTATATGCCAAAAATATATAAAACTAAAAATAATTGCTCTATATAGCTTTTAACGGTTCAGAAAAGAGTAATTCATCATCAACATGAAAATAATCAAATAATCGAACTGTCAATGTCTTTTCTCATACTCAGGCACATCGTCGGAAACCCACGGGTGATCTCGTCTTTACTCATCACCCGTGGGCAAACTCGCCGAAAAATCGTCGTATGTAATTAATATGCTTGAGTCATTTGATTGGCTGCTGAACAGAGTCGCGATGGCAAATCAACGAATCAAAGTTTAGGTTATGTATGTATGTTCGGCAAAGCCAAAACTATTCGTAGTTAACAGGCCCTAGTTAACACACCGATTGCTAATAAATCCACTCAACGGTGCATTTTGCAGTTTGAAAAAGGTACTCCCTTACAATTTCTGACTGGTATTTAATGTCAGTGACCTGTGCGAATTGACTTTAATCGTTTTAAAACAAACTTCGCTCGTTTTAACGAGCGTCAAAATGTTTACCATAAATAGCAAACTAATAAACGTATTTTCAAAATTGAAGAGTTCCAACTTTTTGATTGGTTGACTATAATCAACAAATTAGCATATTTTACGGCGATACTTCAGCGAGTTTGCCCACGGGTGATGAGTAAAGATGAGATCACCCGTGGGTTTCCGACGATGACTCAGGCATGAACGATGATAAATTGGAAAGTTCGCGAAAGTTATAAATTGCCTAAAAAGAGAAAAAATAGTCAATATTAAAAACCAGGAATAGTGAAATGCATAATACATCACATGTTGGCAGTACGTTAGAGTTTCAACTGCTCTAAGAATTACATGTACTTGAAGCTTAAGTAGAAATCAGTACTTGAAGCAATGTGGTCCATTTTAAGAAGCAATCCAATATAAAATGTACGTATGATGTAATGTAAAATTATCGAATGTATCCATCTATGTTAAGATTGTATCATTTACGGACCATAATGATTGATTGATTGTATATTGTTTAACGTCCCATTCGAGAATTTTTCACTCATATAGAGACGTCACCGTATGCCAATGAAGGGCTTCAAGTTTAGACCTTTACATGGCTCTCAGTCAGGGCATTGAGCAGTGAGGGATCTTTATCGTACCAACGCCTACCGAGACCTCGGTTTTTAAGGTCTCATCCGAAAGACCAGTGACTTTCACTACTAATGCCGGGCATTTGGCGAAGGAACATTCACTATATATGTTTACATCTTGGGGTTGAGAACCGAACCGGGCCTACTGTTCAAGAAGCAAACGCCCTACCACTAGGCTACCGTGACCGGTCGGATCATGTATCATGTGTACTGCTGATGAAAAAGGTGAAGAGTGGTCAATATCATAAATCCTTTGAACAAAACAAATCAAGAACAGGGTAGGAACACAGGCTCCTTGAATTACGAGAAGTGAGATCGGGTGCCTAGAAAGAATAAAAATCCCCTGCTGATCAACAATTATACAAGTTTCACTTAATATGCACTCAAACAATTAAGGATTCACCAAAGTGTTTTTTTTAAGATTTTCAATAATTTAGAGATGTTTTTCTTAAAGAAGCAGTTAGTCATCCCGTTATAATGCACCTAAAATACTTGCAAATTGTGAAATGTTTTCGAATTATGGAAAGTTTATGAAACATAAACACTACCACAAATAAATGTTTCATTATTGAAGCTTCTGATTTGATCTGTGACTGCCTGTTCATGAAAGATGCAATAAATTATGTGACCACTTGGGAAATTCTTCAATAGCCACAAAAATCTTATCAGTAATTAAATTACAGGGACTCTGAGTTTATAGAAAGAGATCTAATAAATAACTAATGACTTTAAAAAATGGAGGTGCTTAGCTTTTGCCATTTGGCCGGGAAATCTTTCTGATTCAGAATTAGATATGTTTTTCTTCATTAGAAGCATATCTAAATACAGAAAGGAACCTCCCACTTCCGTGAATATGAGTAGGAAATATAGATAAGTGAAAGGTATCCAAAGTTGAATCTCTAAGGTGTCATTTTTTAGCTTTGGCAGATTGCATTGTGAAATGGGATTTCACTCTCTACTGTACAGTGCGATCAGACAGTTCGTGGTTTTATATTTCAAAGGTTTCAGCTCCGATATTTGTTGATTAATTTCACTGAAAATTGACTCAATTCTCAAATGTCTGTTTACAAACCGTATATCTCAGGTTTATGTTGATTTAAGGAGTTATTACTGGATATGTTTAATTATGCTTATAAATTTGTAATTTTGAAGTACAAATGAGAGCAACTTTTGAATAAGATTATTAAAAATCCGAGGTTTTCGTATTTAACCCTTAATTTACACTGAGGCAAGAAGACCACACTGAGGAATGATATACATGTACAAAGAAGTTGAAACATGATTTCTTTGTATCATCTGATTTACATTAATTTTTGAATATTTTTTACAAGCAACCAGAATCTAAAAGAAGATATTTAAATAGTAAGTTTAACAAGCTTTCAAATGATATATACTTTTATAATGTTATCTTTGATGACAAAGGGAATTTCACGCTATATTATTCTGACACTATGAAACCTCTAGTGTCATGGTCTTGATTCCAATGCATAAAAATACGTCCATTATCGATAAGAAATGATATAAACATATCATCATTGATGAAAATTCACCAACTCATGATACCTATAATGTGCCTTTTTTTCATTTTATACATCAGTGGATTCTTTCTATCGACAATTTTTTTTTTAAATTTGACATAATAAGATACATGTACATATGCTAACAAACTTATATCTTTAGGAGGAACCAGGATATGACAATGTTGGCAAGTTACAGTATATGGACATGTGCATCAATGAAACAATGAGGATGTTCCCTGTTGCCCCTAGGTAAAGATGTGAACAGTATACTATTAATAATTTCTTTTCTTTGAAAGTTAGTCATATTTATGCTATATGTTGCTAAACCATTCAGAAATTCTGGATAGGCCTTTACATTGCCTATAATCTATTATTGAGAATATGTTATTGACCTCAAGTTTACAAAGTTTATATTTTTGCATTACTCTTTTAAAACTCTTCAAAGAATTTTTTCAACTATGCTTTACTCTATTATGTAGATAATGAAGAAGAATATTGAATTTCCCTCTTTGAGTAAAGATTGCAACCACTTCATGATAATGCAGCAAATTCATATTTTCCACTCCTAATGATAAAAGATTGTCTGTAATTTGCAATCTCACTGGAGTATAGTATCAAACTTGTTTGCAGAACAGATAGAACATGTGTTCAGGATACTGAGGTGAATGGTCTGAAGGTACCAAAAGGCATGAAGATTGCAATACCAATATGGATTTTACATCATTCTGATAAACTATGGAAAAATCCAGAAAAGTTTGATCCAGAAAGGTTTTCAAAATAATAATTTCACTTTCATGTTCTAATTAGAATATTTGTGAGTACATCTGCTGCTTTTATATATTATAATTTGTTAGAATATAATTCAACTCAAATGGGTTGTTCCATAAAGTCTATAACAATGTATTCTAATCTTAATTAGCTGTAACATTTTTTGTTATATTTTCAAACAATAATAATCTCCAAAGTTTTTTTTCATTCAGAATGAATCGGGAATATACAGGAATTAAACTTTTAAATATATAAAAGAAATAGAAATTAGATATTGAGAAAAAATAATGATTTTAATTTCACAGATAAAAAAATCTGAATCAATGTGTCAAGAAGTTTGATATATTCAATTACCATGAATGTATCAAACCTTGAAACTTTGATTTACATTAAAAAAATAACTTGAAACTTTTATTAACTGTTCAATCTAGAGCCTTCCATTGTAAACAATAGTTTCCTATAGTAATGTTTTGTTGGCGGAGTCTTCATGATGATTTGTACAAACTTTCATGCTCCAATGAGTTTTGAATCAAAAATACACACAATCATGGCCCAAACAAACAGTGATATCAGTATATTGGACTCTGCATATCTAACATCCCATTAAAATTCTTCAGATTTACACCAGAGAACAAAGCTAAACTGAATCCGTATCAGTTCATGCCTTTTGGTTATGGTCCAAGGATATGTATCGGAAAAAGATTGGCCCTTACTGAGATCAAAGTAGCAATGACCAAAATCCTTAGAGAGTTTGAATTTACAACATGTTCCAAAACAAATGTAAGTATACTTATACAAAATTATCATTTATTTAGAAAAGTGAAATATATATAAGAAAGCAATTCAAAGTTTATTTATAATAGGACTGAGTATTACAGAATTAATATTTATTCCAGTTTTACGTTTATCGACCTGTGCACACAAACCTTCATTAAGGTTATTATATTCAAAACAAGTTCGTATGTATGATCGGGAGAAAACATGTTTGTCACCTCGTGACTCTAGTGAAATATTATAACTGGAAGTAATTATATATATCCAACCTTTATTACAATGGATTATTTTTAGTCCAATTGTCTCTTTATTGATGTCTGTCTGGCTTGTAATTTAATTATAAATTATACCCCGCCCTTAAATGAGCATACTTGACGATCATCTTATCCTTGCTTGCATGAAGCATAGAATAACTATACCAAACTCCAATTTTAAGACGTAACCTTGCATTAAGGTCATTTTGGAGATGCAAGATCTTTGTTGTTGAATTACAGCTAATTTTTCCTATTTGAATTGAATATTGTAAATGACTCGATATTTAATTGTTCTTTATTCGATAGTGCAACTTTAGTTACCTTGATTCTGGTTTGTAGAACTGAGTTCAAGCCTGCTGCTTTTAAATAATTGTCTCAGACATAAATTTATAGAATATGAAAATAATTCGGTATTACATTCTCACACAAAAGTTCTTATATAGACTTGACTCAGGGTCATATAGTAGAGGTCATGGTCTGTATTTTTTAATAAATTTGTTGGACGCATGTCTGAAACCACAGCTGAGATGACTGCATACTTGAAAATATAATTATTCTTCCTTCCTTTGTGTTTTTGACCTTCATCAAATGTCATAACAAAAAGTTAAGTAAGCTGAAGGCTATTATTTAGCTTCATCTTTTCACCAACTTGCGTCTTTTAAGATTTAATATAAAATGACCGGATATGTTGTAAAATAGCTTATCATATGTTTGTGTGATATGTTTTATATATACATAGATTTCTACTATATTTATGTATTTCTGTTTTTGAATGGGTCAATGGCATTAAATACGTTAAATAGCAATGATGTGTGTAAACAATATTTGTCATCACCCATGCATTGCTAAACATTTGGTTTGCCTTATTTCCTACAATAAAACTAAAATAACATGTTTATAAACAGATATTCATTATTAAGAATATAAGTAATGGTATACATTTTCTTTATTGCAGGTTCCACCGAAATTTAGGAATGGTGCTAGTCTTGTTCAGCCAGTGGATATGTGGCTGAGAGTTATTGTACGCTGACCTGAAATCTCCAGTCTCAACCATTACATTTTTAGCATTGCATCATGTATACATCTTGGATAAACTAGTATGCCACATCATTTTGAGCTACTGAGAATTTGTCACATTGTACAAGAATGTGAATATGTAATTCATTTTGTAGAATCATAACCTTAATATAGAATTTGGACTCTATGAAGGTATTTTTTTTTCATTTTTTTACATGTTGATATTATCAAAGGTGATCTAGTATATTAAACAAAATAAAAAAAAATTCAGCACATTGTGAATTTTTAAAAAATTCAGCTAGAGGAAAACTTTAACGATTTTTGAGTCCCACAGTAAATCATTAAATTATGTTGTTTTAAAATAAACAAAAAGTGAAATATGAAGATAATGAACAGTATTCAATCTCGAAAGTCCAATGAAACGATACAAATTTGGAGCAGAGCAAACACGAACCTCAAAATTTAGAGGTGCAATCAGGTGACATGGAGGAGTGAGCATCCCCTGCCGACCGGTCACACCCGCCGTGAGAAAAAGAAAATATTTAATTCATAAACAAATTAAACAAACATTGTTAATGTTAAATGTTAATTGTTAAATGTGTGTAATCCACGTTCCGTTTTATATACACCAATGCTTAAGTGTACTTAATAGAAGTGTAGTGTTTGCTTGGTAAATATCAGTAATATGCTGATCTGAAGGATTCGAGAATTTAAAGTTAGAGAGCTTCAGTACAACTCATAGTGAACGGGACAGGTTCTGATGCACTAAAGAGAAAGTGAATTTGATTAAATACGTGTATTTAGCTCTCCTAAACCAGGTATTCAATTGAATTTTTTCTGATCAACATTTGTCCGTCGTTTTTACATTTGTTAACTTTTCTCATTTTCGAATTTATTTTCAAGAAAAAGTATATCATCCAAGCACAAAGAATCCTTGGATAATGCTGATTCTGTTTTTTCTTCAAATGAAGGGCCAAGTTCCATGACAGGGGATGATAGTTAGAGCAAAAAGAAAAAAAAAGAAGGTTTTAAAAAGTCACTTGACCAGAAAAGACAAAAAAAATATGTTAAAGCTTCCTTACATGATGTAAATTAATTAAAGTCTGTTCGATGTCCCAACCACTTATTTTTTTAAAACTATTTTACCCCTGATATCTCGATTTATCGGATATCTCGAAGTTTTTTCTCGGTCTTATCAATTTCGAGATAACGAGGTTTGACTGTATTGCAATTGTAGAAGTACAAATACAAGTTTGTGTCAAAAATATGATAAATTGCACTTTTTATAGCACATAATGCTACAGAACACACACACGACAAAAATGATGCATGGATTTTATATGTATTCTGACTGATTTTGAATAGATATGACATAAATAATAAATCCCTAAATATAAAGAAATCGTAAGTTTTCTTTGATGCGAAAATATGCGACTCTGTGCCGTCTATGTAAATCTATACAACATTTTGCAAATCTCTTTAAACATTATTACAAAATCTTGCAAACTTTTCACAATTTCCCTGGCAAACATTATTTAGGTTACCTATAAGAATATAAATCTATGTGATATATTGCTGATTTCTTTAAATAGTTTGTTTGTGTTATTTATTCCTAAAGGCTTATATGTAATTATCTAATCCCATTATTTTTAGACCAATAAGCAATAAATCGGCTTCTGTATCAAATTCTGCTTTTGAAATACATAACGATTTCTGTAAAAGTTACTAGGATTAAGAACATTGACAAAGTGTGATAAAAGAGTACAATCAACGGTAATGTTTTTTAATAAGCGTTGTCCTTCTGTTTCTTTGTTATGAACATCTTCCTTCACCATCTACAAGTTGTCGCTCTTTGGTATATAATCTAACACATGATTAAAAGAAATAAATGAGTAACATTTAATAATTAAATCTCCACGCGACATATGACTGTCAGTGAGCATTACGAAATTACTGTTAAATGAAGTGCATACCCAACATAAAAAAGTTTGCTAAAGTTTACTATAGTAGGTTTTTCTGTCATAGTAAATCATAGTTTTTCCTATCATATATAGTAATTCTAGAAAATTTTATGTCATTTTTCCCAAGTACCAAGCACCTTTTATAGTAATAGGAAATATTGCTTGTATATTCACATATTATTTGTAAAATTTACATTGTTTGTGTGTGAAAAAGAAATATTCAGGCCCTAAATCCCAAACATTTTTAGAGTTAATTTCATAGTAAATCGAAGTATCAAAGTATTTACTATAGTTAACTAAAGTAATCTTTAATTAACTATAGTAGCTTTTGTTAGGTTAATATATAAAAAGAAGATTTTGATTGTTTGAAACTGATTTGCAAGATAGCATAGGAAAGAATGTACAGGAAAATCCCAGCGTGTATTAGATTCCTAAATCTATATGAAGAACATTGTATGTAGAATGGTTTTGCCTTGAATGTTTTATGGAACTAACAAAAATTAGGATGGTTGCCTGGAATAATACAGTATTGTTAGAGATGACGTATATTTAACGCAGAGATTGATTGATTGTATGTTAGTTTACGTCCCATTCGAGAATTTTTCATTCATATAGAGACGTCGCCATTTGCCGGTTAAGGGCCACAAATTTAGACCCTTACTCGGCACTCAGGGCCATTGAGCAGAGAGGGATCATTATCTTGCGAATGCCTGCCGTGACATAGGGCGTCGGTTTTTAAGATCTCATCTAAAAGACCCGCAACTTTCACTTCAAAGTGCCGAGTGGGGGCTTAACGCAGGTATAAAACCTCATCGTTTCAATGTCCAATAGAAAAAAGAGTAAAATATGGAGATAAAGAACAGTAATCAAGTTTAAATGTCCGTTGAAACAATACAAATCGGGAGCAGAGTAAACGCGGACCACTTTTAAAGACATTAGAGGTGAGATCAGGTGAAATGGAGGAGTAAGTATTCCTTGTCGACCGGTCACACCCGACATGTGCTCATCCGTAGACAATTAAGTGTTTAAATAATGGCCTTACAATTATAGTATGAAAAACGGCAGTCAGAATTCGACTTAATGATAGATAGTATTTGCTGACAAGGTCATTGTATCAACCATAGAACTTGCGAAATGATAACTACAAACGAGACTGTCGATATTCTGTTTTATCAACTTGTTTGTGAGATTGTCCCCGTTTTGGAAATTCGAACGTGGAGCATGCTTTTGAGTATCGAATCAACTAGGAAATATAAACCCCATATGCAGGTGATAAGGGTATATTGCTACATATAAGTAAGGGAAGTTGACGATAGAAAGGTTGAAGTCATCACACTTATCATAAAGTTTTGTTGTTAGGTTACCATTAACGTCTTTTTCTAGTAAAATATCCAGATATGAAACAGATATGTCAGACTCTGTGGTGTCTTGTATTACAAGTTCACTGGGATATATCGAGTCGTTATATGAATGAAAGTAACTATAATTGTTAATTGATAATACATCCGATATATCTAAATAATACATAGAGTTGAAGGCCACAGCATGTGTTTTCTTCTTCTCGTGTATAAGTTTTTGAATAAATTCTGCTTCATATGAATACAAATATAGGTCTGCTAATAACGGGGAGCAATTGCTACCATTGAAATTCCGACAGATTGTTGGAAGACCTGATCTCCAAAAACTACATAGATACTATCAATCAGAAACTCAAGCATCTTTCCAATATCTTTTTAAAATCAACCTCAGAGTACTTGTCTGTACAATCAGAAGGTAAGTAAATTAATGAGTTCCATTTTAATTGAAAAAGCAGCTGTCTATGATGTAAAAAAGCCTGGACTTAAATTTATCGTGGGGAATGGCTGTATAGAGTGTTGGTAAGTCGTACGTTTTGAAGTTATTGATTTAAGAAGTCATCCTCAAGGTACATTGTATAGTACACTTACTATATGCGACATGGCTTACAATATAGCGTATTTACAAACATACAAAAATTTTCCATCTTTTATAATATTTAGCAAATCAAGGTATAAAGAAATTCAAATTACACAAGTATTTGGGAAAAAGGTTTAAACAAACTTTAACAAGAGAAATCAAGAATTGATAATATTCTTTAGATATATAGTATTCAAGTATACCATTCAAATCGTTTTGGTTTTTCTTGCTCTTCGTAATAAAAAAAAATACGTTTCAGTTATCCTACCTTTCAAAAACACTCAAACAAGGAACTACATCGATGTATATGAACACAAAAGTCACGTAATGTATGCGGGACATGCGTGGCTTAATGGTTTACGCTTCAATGTTTCGTTGGGCCCGGGGTCTCTAGTTCCCCCAAATTTCAGATTTCGTTTTTTGTAATTGTTATCTTGTGACTTTATCTATAGTATTTTCCACATGTGAACAGACGGATCTCCTTTATACGATAGTACCACACTGTCTGTTTAAGATATACACGCTTTAATTTGCCTCAGTTGAAAATAAAGTTGGAGATTTATTTATTTTGTTTACCAAATAAAGTTACGAAAATGCTGTAAATTACACAATCGAAAATGAACGCGTTATAAACATGATAAAGATGTCAAATTATGATTATTTATTTTCCTGCAAAGAAAGTAATGCCTCTATTTAAATTAACGCATCACGTGACACCGTCGCTACTTTTAGATTGATAAACAAAAATGGCGTCAAGGAAACGAGGTAGGTCGTTTGGTACACAAATAACTGAGAATGGATGGCAAACGTCTAACGCTTAATGATACGAATCTTTTAAAGCAAACAGCATTTACCATCTACTATATAATGACAGATATTAACCTTTCATTTATAATGATCGTAGTCGAAATGCAACGTACCACGTAGTCTATGATTTCCCGCGGACATTCGTGTCTAAACTTTTTACGCACTTCCTTCATCAATATTCATGAAAAGGCTCTAATTTTTAATTGCAGATCTTACTTAATTGTTTTGTAATAACAGCGACTTATTTAGTAAAACTTTGTGTAAAGTATTATTTTTTCATTAGAGAACATGTTTCCCAAATCACTTAATCATTTTGTTTCACACAAAGAATCGGCGTTTATATAGCGTGTATATCTTTTACGTTATTACACGGGATTTATAATTATTATGGAAAGGAGAGACACAAAAAGAGAAAAAAATAAGGATGTTTTGACGGCATAGGTAAAGATGCAGTGCTAATTCCTAATATAGACCCCTCAGGAAA